GTACGCTAGATTAGCCTTTCTGTCATTTGAGGGTGGTTTCCGCCCTCCTTGCAGGGCTACATTTCGCATATTGCTTGAATAGGGTAGGTACTTAAATACATTCAAACGTTGACATGTCTCGGGAATTTTTCGAAAATTTATTCACCTCCCCGGTAGCGAATTTATTCCAGTTAGTCTCCACCCCGTATAGAAAAGCGCGTACAGTACTATAAACACAATCACTGTCATATAACATATTCATTAATCACAATTATTACATATTTTACATGATCTTTCAAGGCAAAAGATTAAAAGAATTTTTGTATTTCAACATTTTTATCGTTTAGATGGATTTTCTTGTTCCGTCACTGTCTTCACTAAAAGTGTGATTTCTTATCTATGAAAGCTTAGCCTTAAAAGTCTCTATTAAGTAGATTTCACCAAAATGTCTTCGAAATAATTTCCTCAATAGGGCGAAGAATAACAGTACCTACATTTTCAGTCAATATTGGGCATTTTGATAATTTTATACATTTTTGATAATATTTGAACTAAAACTGATAGTTTTACTCATACAATTTTAGTTGTATGCGTACTAGTAGAGAAAAATTTCACTCAATTCGGTGTGGACAGAAACATTATTGAGTAAAACTGAGTGAAAATAAGTCCAATTTTTCTTACAGTGTAATACTCGTAGTGACTCAATCGGTGATTGTAATGTGACTTTTATAGTTAGTAATCGTATTGGAAGCATTAATTATATCTTGTTAGTAATCCATACCAGAGAAGAACAAAAATGGTACCCAAACGTTGAAAAAATTGACTAAATTACTAAATTGTGGTAGTCACCTTCTAACTTAGTCAACTTTTTGGTGATTGTTATTTGACAGTAGTAGAAGTCGTTTTATATAAAACAAATTAAATGATTTTTAACTTTTTTATTAATTATATAGTAAATATACATATATGTTTGTCCAAACGGTAATAAAAATCAAAATAAATGTAATTGGTATATTATTTCTAATGTCTTGTCCAAGATAAAGAAAATAATTGTCCATAGGGCTACCAAATATTTAATAATAAGTAGATTTATAGATTCTTTTTCTTCTCCTTCTCGCGTTAAAAACTATTTTAATATATTTAAACATTTCTTGTCGCTTGAGTTTTTAAATTGGCAAATAGTTGCAAGACAACTTCGAGGACGTCTGGATAAAAATTGTTTTATTGCCTTGCTGTTGAATAGTCAGTCAAAAATAAAATTACGTTTTTTAATTCTTTTTAGTTGCTACTCTCGAGGTTGGTTAATATTGTAAGAAAATTTCAACTTTCGCCCATAATCATGCCACTCAGTTACAATTTATCTTATTAATTTAATTAACAGGTAAAATGAAATTACTTTGTTATGTAGAACTAGCAAAAATAATGAAGTTAGGAGATACGGGGTGTTGAAATTTATTCAGCTATTTCTGAAGTTGTTTGACCTAGAATGATTATATTCGTACTATTTAATTAAGACCAAAAAATCGCTCAATAGATGCTGTTATGCACTGTTACTAAAACCCCTAAATTTCGATGAGTATTTTGGGAATTGAATAAAAAATGTTTTCTAAGAGAAATGGTATCTTTCGCTTTATTCAAAAAGTGTTACTTTCGAATATATATATATATTATTTCCTGAATGTAATCATATACAGGGTGATTCACAAACGGTGACCAAAGATGAAACCTCGTATTCTTTGGTGAAATTTAGGACACTTCGTTAAAAAGATGCAGGGTGTTAAACTTAAAAAAATGTTTTTAATTTTTTTAAATAATTTAAAAACTAGTAAGTGAAATAATTTGAAATGGGGCACATGTATTTACGTAAACATTGTCCAAAATCTGAGGCCTTTTCCTAAAATTTAGTGGCGGAGATACGGGGTGTCGGCGGCATATTTTTCTAAATAAAATAGTACGCCACTGCTTTACGGTAACAATCATGATATTTTCGGATTCGTCTTTCAATTTTCTACAAATTACTACTCTCTTACTATATGGCACCTCGTACTAAAATGTTCTATTTATCTTAAAATGATTTTATATTATTTAATGTGTAAAAAATGTCAATTTTACTCGAAATCCATAAACGATATCGAAATTTTGTAACAGGCAAATTCTGTCGTCATTGGCGCACATACAAAAAAGTTACGGGATAACCAGTGTCGCACAGGCACTAGAAAGAGAACATCCTGTATATGTATTCTCACCAAATTCTATCATTACATTGCCCTTATATAAAAAAAATATGTGTACCAAATTTGAAGTTTCTAAGAAAAGCAGTTTTCAAATTATTTGATAAAAACTAGGTTCTATTCTGTTCTATATTTAGAAGGCTATATATCTCAGTAGGCGTGCACTTTTGTATATAGGTAAGTTAGGCTAAATAGTCCAAGGAACTTGTGGTCAAGCGTTGTCCATCCTTTTCAGGGACACCCTGTATATACATGTGCCCAATTTCAAATTATTTCACTTACTACTACTATACTTACTATATTATGTAAAAAAATTGAAAACATTTTTTAAGTTTAACACCCTGCATCTTTTTAACGAAGTGTCCTAAAATTCACCAAAGAATACGAGGTTTCACTTTTGGTCACGGTTTGTGAATCACCCTGTACAGCAAACGGAAAAATTCAGAAGACTCGATATGTTATGCTTTCGCAATCCTTATTAAAAGTAGAAAATATTCCTCAGATGCTGAAATTATTTATTTTGAAACATGAAACGACGTAGTATCGGTTTCAAACAGTATTACTGTCATTAATTTTCTATCAAATATTATTTTTTTAATTTTGGCTTTTCTAAGAGGACATCTAAACTAAATATTAGCTACAGGATATTCATTACATGACTGTAACCGGTTATTACCTCTGGCAAATTGGCAGTCATCAGACCAAATTTAATAAGGCATTTAAAAAACCATTCCGACAATTTTTTTTTGGTGTTACGTAACCCGACTTTTGAATGCCTAATAGATATGATCAATGTTCGGAACAAGTGGATTCTTGAATTGTACTGCTTTATTAATTATTAACGTTGACATTTGTTTGACGTGAAAAAATTATTTAGGTATATTAGCGGAGATTCCAATTTTTTTATATTTTGATCCCTTGAAGGCTATTCTAAATGTCTTAGATGGGTATGGGAAAAATATAATACATTGTGATGGATGTTTAAAAAATAATAATAAGAAAAATATTGTTTTTTCTTCTAATTCCTTAGCTTTCGTTTAAATATAAAATTATGTACGCATTTTTTAAAGAAATCTATGCTGCCGACGTAAAATAATGAAAGCAATATTAACATACTGATTTATCTAGTCTTGTAGCGTCTTTATATGGTAATGGAATTTTCCATGTAATGAGTAATTAAAATTAAACGCATGGGAAGCATATTAAGGTTAATAATCTTTGGATTGGCTTAACATAAAAAAAACGCACACAGAATGCCTAAGTAACTTAAAATTCCGATCAATCAATCAATTAATGAGTTCCAAATTGAACTATAAAATATTTATCCAATTGTTTTAACTTTAGTAGCACATTCCTAATAATCCTGAAGGATTTAATTTGATGTAGGCCTATCTCTTCCTTAAATTGCAACTAGCATATTTCAGTTCATTGTTTCTCGTATTTGTATTTTTGTTTCATATTCTCCGAATGTTTTTTTAATCTTGATAATCCTAATTAGCCCGAAGTATTTAATTTAGTACATGTTTCTCGCTTTCTTAAAATGCAACTAGCATAAATCAATTCGTTGTTCCTCGTTTACCTTAATACCAGTATTTATCTTTTTTTAATATGCAGCTGATATTTTTTTGAGTTTCCCTAATCCCAATGATCATCAATAATTTTATTTATATATATGCTTATCATTTCTTTAAATTGCAACTGGAATATTTCAGCTAATTATTCCTCGTTAACAGGTTAACAGTAATATTTATATTATCTGATAACTTTTTGTTTCCTCATCCCTAATAATCCTGAATTATGATTATTTTGGGGGCCATGAGGCTTGCAAAAAATATAATAAAATTTCCAGAGTCGTATTTAAAAAAATGAAGATGATGATGATTATGATACATATAAGAATTGATTATGCCATTCGATAGAGGGCAAAAAGTTGCCATGAGAATGTATTATTCTTTTTCCAATATCACCTCAAACAAGGTTGAAAACAAAAACGGATATTTTTCAAATATTTCGAAAACTAATCATGTTAGCATGATTTTTTAGAGGTAAAAGATGGTCCCCTGATTACACAACTTTGCCCCCATTTAAGTTAGTTCGTATCTCTTACCGTTTCCAAGATCCCTGTAGTGAGAAGCGAATTTATAACAGCCTGTATACTAAAATGATACAATATCTTTAAGGGAATTTTTCAAAATCAATCTAAATATGGATCACCCTGTATTCAAACGTCTATAAAAATAAGTGGACAATTTTTCAAAATCAATCTAAATATGGATCACCCTGTATTCAAACGTCTATAAAAATAAATGGACAATTAAAAATTAAAATTCATGTGTTTTAACGTTTTTCCCAACAAAAATATTGTAACTTAAGCACGCACTGTAATACATTGTGTAAAAAACTAATTAACACACGTTTTGAAGATTATTATTTATTTAATTTTGAAACGATTCATCTTCCTTCAATTCTACAAAAAAAAACGGATATAAACAGTTTATTTATCTCTATAAATTTTGAACTAATTAAAAGCATTGTTAGATAATAACATTTTCAAATTAATTAATTATTTATGATATAAGTAGCAGTCCCGGTCTCGATCTAACGATAACGGATAATCGGCGTTGTTAAAAAGAAACGAAACTGGTCTGGCATCGGCTTCATTCTATTCGCGATAAACCGTTTTTTTCCTGCAACTTAGGAGCATTTTGTGCATCAAGCATCTAAACCCGGTAAAGTATAGACCAAGCTGTGCGATATCTTAAATGTATAACAATATATGACCACACTTACCTGTGACAACACAAACGAGTGTATAGCTGATTGGCGCCCACATGTCTTGTTTTCTTGCACACAACCTTTATCGCTTGCTTCTCAGTTGACTCTCTTCGTATAGTTTATACTTAATTTCGACACGGTTACAACGACCAGCTCAGATCATTTTATTTCCAATTTGAAAATCCGTAGTTACTAATGCGAACTATTCAAATATTACGGAGGTATAATATTTCTTAATTTTTATCTTTTAAATATTAACCCAAGATTCTTGTAGATATATACTATAACGGTGTAACCATGGATTCTATTAGACTAGCATGGGAAAGTATACGTAGAGATTTAAACTATATAATAACAGGTTTTTTGCTCTGTTCTCTTCACAGAGAACAATTAACAGTGAGCGTGAATTTAAATTTTCACTCGTTCTATTGTTAACACGGACGATTACTGGCTTCTGATTTTTCAGCCCAGCGCTTATAAATTATTGTTAGAATTTGAGGAATTTCGGCGGATTTATTGATAAGGTACAGATTTCAATTCATGGTAATCTAGTTGCTCAATACCGCGTTTTAGTAGATTCGCTGTACATGAGTTCACATTTCTGTTAATGTCGGATTATGCTTTTCTCTAAACACTTTTTTAATAATTTGTGCGTTTTAGGAAGTCGCCGACTTAACAACGACATTTTATGTTTATTTTATTCTTTTTATAGTACCTATTGGGATCTTCAAAATTATAAAAGAAAAAGTTTTGTATTATTCCGTTGATATCTTAAAGGCGGTCACTGTAGGTTTTTTTTTAATTCTTCCAAAAACTTATTACAGCTACTTTTTGCATATTCCGAGAAACTCTCTCATTCTTTGCAACTTTCTTTATTTTTGTACCTTTGATACATAACTGAAAAACTTAAATATGCTCTTTTCGTTCAGGAATAGGACACCCTTAAGAAAAAATAAAGTTGAAAAGGAAATGAGAGCTTCTTGAAACCGCAACGTTGAAAGAGAAAACTTAATTCCCAGAGAAATTATTTACAAAATATTGATGGTAGAACGTTTTTCCATATTTAAAAAATGTATAAAAATAAAAGAAATTATCTCCCTTTTATAAATAACTCGAAAACTCGTACTACAAACCCCATTAAGTAAATAATCATTAATAATAAATGATTAAAATAAGCAGTAATTAAGTAAAGTTGGTAATATAATGGTTTAAAATGTTCGCAAAATATGCATCGCCAAAATGGGCCGCTTGGTAGACGCAAATTTTATAAAAAAATTGTAAGAAAAATTATCTTGAATTCTTTTAGATTTTAAGGATTTGTTTTTTTATATTTTTTAAGCAAGTGTACAAAAAAAGTTACTTCTTGCATTAAAGATAATTACTCGTATTTAGATTTTGATGCTATGAGTATATTTGACTTCATTTGATGATAATTTAAGACGAGAATTTTTAGAAAAATGTAATTCGAGTCATCTTAACCTTTAAATAATATAATGCGAATCTGAAGTAGGTAAAAATATTAACATGTTGTGATTCTTTGGTTCTAAAGAGTTTAGTATTTAAATTAGAAAATAACGTTTACAAAAAATTTCTCTAAATAGGTTTGGGTGATGAGAGTTAAGACTTCAGTTTATTTACTGTACTGATATATGTCAAACAGTGGTGGAGAAAATGGGAGACAAATTTCGTGTGCCTAAAAGTATTTTAGAAATTCAATTCGAAAACGATAACACTATCAAGTTATTATTCATTTAAATTAAATTTACTATAAAGTACAGTAAATTGTCAAGAATTATAAAACTGTTACAGAAATTTTAATTATTTTTGGGGCAATATTCCTTACAAAAATTCAAAATTTCCATACTTGAACTTTTAATAATAACATTCTATTTAAAATCGTATAATCGGTTTTTCAAACAATATTTTTTAGAAAAACTATTAGGAGCCAAATATATCGACGAAATTTCTGGGGTTTTATTGACGATGTCCCACAGTATTTCCACCACTGGTTGACATAATTGTACACAAATTCCGGTCAGTAAATTTTTCTCTTTACTAAGTCAAATTATCAACTTAAATTTTGTTAGAGTACGTCAAACATCTTCATAGAAATTTAATATTCTATTTTTCCAAATCTCAGTGAAAAATGATTGACAGAATAACCTAGAATGCTTTTTCTTTAACTTAAGTTATATCCAGTATGTTCTGTAAGTTCCTTTTAACAGTAAAAATTTAAAAAAAAAATAATGAGTTTGTTTGAAAGATTGAATTTTAAAGAAATCGAAAATATTAAATTATTTATAGACCATAGTTATTTTCTACTAAAAATACTCGAAACTAAAACAATGACCTTATAACATTTTATCTCTCTGTTTTGTTCTTCTCTGGGTATTTTGCTACCAGCGGAAAAAAATAAAACTTATTTAAATCTAATAATCCTTGGCTAAAATTATAAGTTAAAGATTGTTTTTATGAGATTTAACCTTTTTTCGTATGCGGCAAAATACCCAAATAAACAGCCGCAAATAGTAATATAATTTCAGACGTGATCTTGAAATAAACCTACTGAAATATAGTCTGAAATTTGCAATTGTTATATTTAAACAAATAATAAAGCATCTAGATTTTGCGAACCTACGCACCTGTCAGTGTCTTACCAGCATGGCAAAAATTTTCGTAACTGTATTTGCTGTTCTTTTGAACTTAAACTATAAAGACGTACTTTTTTCCAACCTTTCTAGGCCCTAGCTATCACATAATTTTTACCCATACCGATTCTTTTATCGGAAATACTGGACGAACAAACAAGAACTTAATATCGTTCGGTTTACACTGAAGCTCTTTTTTATGCGTAACTTGTAAATCAGGAGCACATTTCACTTTACTTATTGCGCACTTTCCCAAACTAAGTCTACGTGCTAATGATTTATTTGAAACAACGACCCAGCGATATCTACGAAGAAAATGAGAATGCATCTTGCATAAAATACTGTTATAGTCTCAGCGAAGTTCTGCAATGATGCATTGACAAGAGAAATTTATTAAACGGCGAGTACTGAACAAGACAGATTTTGGTCCTAAATATTTGACATTAAAATTAAAAGTTTTGAATGTGTTTGAAATATATCCTGCAAAGTATGTTATATCTTCATTGTTACTACTGCTTATTGCCTACTAGTAAAAAAAATTGCTCGATATACCGGCAGAGCGTGATCTACTAATAGTAGATACTATGAAAGCGTGACTGGGTTACACTGGGAAAAATAAATGTGGTAGTAGGAAATAGGTAACAAAGCTATCAGAGTGTTTCTTAATAACGTGCTAATATTTAAGGAGCATATTCTTGGGTCCATTTTAAGAAAAAAACTTCATATGAACATATATCCTAAAAGTCTTAACTTTTGAACTTACATGGTGCTAAAGTTTTATGAAAAATCTCTTTTTTATGATAACTTTGGTATTACTCTAGATATTTTTCCAAATTTGGTACCCTTCTATTCATCAAGATGCATTTTCTGATGTACAAACAATTTTATAATTTTTGCCAGTGGCGTCTGTACAGGTTTTGTATTGAAAATTTTTGAAGAAAAATATGTTACGCCACAGTAAAAATCATTTTTGAAATCCTCATTCCTTTCTGAGCAAATGTGGTGTCTTGAATTCTTTTCGTTTGAGGTACAGTTTTCGCATAAAAAAGTAAAATTCATTCATTTGTACGCTGGTATGAAATTAGGTACCTACTAATAAAAATTAATAACGATCTAGTAGGTAAAAAGTCGAATTCTGAGTTTGCAGACATGTACTACATGTATGGGCTTGCTGATGGTAAGGCACTGGAAGCCAGGCGGTTGTATGAAGATGCGCCAACATTCATAGAAGGTTGTGCGAAAAGGGAAGTTTTAAACCAGACAATCATCTAAAAGGAGTACACCGTACTGTAAGAACTCCAGAACTTGAGATAGACCTCTTGTTCTTGAGGACTTGCATCATCCTGCGTTAATTATAGATTTCGAGTATATACTTATCAATGAGAGTGCCTGTCAAACTAATATTAATCAAAAACTCTATAACTTTAAAAAAGCTAATTTCCCAGATTTGTATAATACTTTATTTCATACCAACTGGTCATTTTTAAATGATTATGATGATATTAATGCGGCCTTAAAAATTTTTTATGAACGTCTGTATGAAATATTTGATATCCATGTGCCTTTATATAGAAACTATAGTCATACATATCCACCTTGGTATACTCCTGAAATTATAAAAAATATCAAAACTAAGGCTAAACTTTTTAAAAAGCATAAAGAACGTCAGAGCTCACACATTTTAAATAAATTTAAACATTTGCGAAGGTTAATAAAAGATCAGATTAAGGAAGCTTATAAGGAGTATCTAGACAATGTTCAAAATTCAATTTCATACAATCCTCAAAAGTTTTGGTCTTTTATTCATTCAAAAAAAAGATGTACTAGAATACCCGGCAAAATGAGGGATGGAAATCTTTGTTTAGATAATTCTCAAGACATCGTCAATGCTTTTGCAAAATTTTTTGAAAGTGTTTTTATTCCATCTACTTCTGAACTCAATATTTCTAATAATTCATACAATAACTCAGCATTCATCAATTTTGAACCTATATCTGAATCTGAAATTTTATTAGCTTCCAAAAAATTAAAAAATAAGATGACATCTGGGCCAGATAAATTACCCTCATTCATTATAAAAGATTGTATATCTGTGTTCGTTGTTCCTTTAAAAATATTATTTAACTTATGTTTGAAGACAAATATATTTCCACTTGATTGGAAACAAGCAAAGGTGTGTCCAATTTTTAAGAATGGCAACAAAGTGAATATTGAAAATTATCGTCCTATATCTATCCTTTCCAACTTTTCTAAAATTTTTGAAATTATACTGTATAACCGTATATACAATGTTATTAGAGGTCAGTTAGTGGTGGAACAGCACGGTTTTATGATGAACAGGTCCACTGTTACAAATTTGATAGTATTTACTCAATTTGTATCTGATACTTTAGATAAAGGCGGTCAAGTGGACACCATTTATACAGATTTTGCAAAGGCATTTGACAGACTTGATCACCAAATCCTTTTAAAGAAACTTGTCGAATTTGGCTTCAATAGCAACGCGTTATCACTATTTAAATCATACTTAAATAATAGAGTCCAATTTGTTTCATATAATGGGTTTGTGTCACCGAATTATTTTGCAACTTCAGGAGTCCCTCAGGGCTCAAACCTA